AATCCAATCCACTGCCCAGCCTCTTGGGTTGCATGGTCCAACCATTAGTCTGGCTCAGCTGCTGCAGACGCTGTGGAGAGGTGGGGCCTGCCTGGCTCCCAAAGGGGGTGAGGGGACAGGCAGCAGACTCGGCAGGAATACCGGGGAAGAAGGCACCCCAAGCCTCCAAGTGCACCCCAAGACAACAGTGAGGTCAGTGGAATCGTTCTCCCTTCGGAGCCCTTCCCAAGGGCTGCCACCAGGCAGAATAGGGGTGAGGTCCTGGGCAAGGAAGACGTGGTGACAAGAACCACAGCTGAGGGGCACGTGCTGAAAGTCCCGAGCAGTCCCGAGACCGAGTTAGAAGGGTGGCGAAGGTGAGGGAGAGAGTCCATCTGATCCTGAGGTCACTTTGCGTGTCCCTGTCCCCTTTCGGCCTGCTTCCCCCCTCCCTTCAGCCCCAGAGAGCTGAGGAGACACCAGAGATCAGAAATGCCATCGCTCTTCCCTAATTACGACAGCCAAGAACATTTCTAGAGAGGGGGAAGGAGAGGTACCATGGGCTTTGAAGGGGAAGGCCTTGGGGGAGGGCCCTAGCCCCATCCAGCCCCAGAGGCTGGCAGCCCAGCCTGGGCTCTTGGACCGCTGGTGCCGGGCCTTCTAGCTGAGCATCTTGTGCCGATCGAAGACCGTCTTCCGCTGCTCCTGCACCTGCAGCTTCCACCGCTGCTGAGCGCCTTCCACGCGTTCCAGAACTGTGTTTGCCCGGGGGCCCCCGAGGGACATGGCAGCTGCAGCCACAGAGCGAGTGTCCTGGAGAGGGAAGAAGAGGGAGAAGTCTGGAGTGATGAGCCAGGGGCTCCTGAATCTGACAGTCTGACATGGAATGAGTGCCCCATCAGTGACCTCAAGTCTGACATCCTCCCAGACTGGAAGGCAGACCTCCCTGTGGGCTGTGGCTCCCTGAGGACTGCCTTGTCACTTGCAGAGCCTGAAAGTCAGTGTGCCTGGCCCGCAGGAGGCCTCTCCCCTCCCCGGGGCTGGGGAAGGACCTATCCAGGAGAAGGATGTCCTGGGGCCCCAGTTTTGATGCCACAACGAGCTCAAGTTAGGGGCCCAGACTGCACCCACAGGCCCATTTCTAATTCTCCAAAACAACACCGAGCACTGGCCCCGAGAGTGCTTTGAGTCAGCAAAGGCTCCATGCTGGTGGTTTGAGAAAACGCCTAGGGCTGGTACCAGGCCAGAGACCTCCCCTGCTTGGCCTCTCTGGCCAGGAAGCAGGAAGGCCAGGGCTGGGGGCTGGGGACTGGCTACCCTGAGATGGCACCGCACCTGCTCTGAGTGGAGGGGAGGTGCTGTACAGATCCAGACCCCCAGGATCTGCTCTGGAGGGAGCAGGGGCAGCAGTGGGGGAGCAGCACTCAGCCTACTTGCCTTGGGAAGGAAGGGATGTGGGAAAGAGGTAGGGATGGTCCCAACACCCCAATCCCAGAGCCTGCTCAGCCCACTCCCTCCCTGACAGCTCAGGCCTGCATGGCTCCTTCCCTCCCTTTCTCCCACCACCCTCTGCTCTCAGAACTGTTTCTGTCGTCAAAAGCATCCTCCCCTAATTACCACTTCTCTGCTCTGAAGCTCCGGAGCCCATACATTTCCTGCAGGGCCCACGAGGAGGGCCAGCCCCGCACCCCCTGGGGATTTCCTCCCAGCTCTGTGGCCTCTCATCTCCTGCCACACATCTCTTAAAGGATTAGCGCACCTCTCTAAGCCCACAGTCGCCCAGTAAATGCAACTTTGCTTCTAATGCCCTGAGCTGGCACGGCTTCTGTCGCCAGGCAGCTGCCAGGCTGGGGAGGCGGGAGGGGTGGCAGGCAAGGGCAGGGTAGGCAAAGAACGAGCTGGCAGTACAGAGGGGAGGCCGGCTTGAGGTGTGGCTGGGAGGAAGGTCGTCGTCACAGGGCTCTGAGTAATTCGTGTCATGGTCACTCATCTCCGGGGGTGGGGGCCGGAGTTGGACACTGCTCTCTGGGAGCCACTGCCCAGGACCCTGAGGAAGGCTCCCTCTGCCAGCCTAGCTGAGAGCAGGTCCCACCTGAGGCAGGTGCTGGCAGCATCAGGCAGGGGGCGCAATTGAAGTCAGGATCCCTGGGTTCTGGGGCTGGGCTGCAGAGGGATGGGAGCACCCGCCCCTCCAGTCTCGGCCCCCTGGGCCCATCCTACGGATGGGAAC